AAGCCCACCAGGACAGCCCTGCTGCAGGAGATGGTGTCCTCGCAGCAATCCCTGGGGACTCCTGCACCCAAGACGGGGTCCCAGGTGTAATAAGCCCCTGGGCCACTCCAGCCAGGGCCGACTGGGTTTCTCTGCTACTTCCTTGGCCATGGGCAAGGGCAGCCCGCCTTATCCCTTCCCTTTCCTGCCAGGAGGAATAAATCCCTGAGGAATTTCGGCTGGGTGCATTCCTCCGAGTGCATGCACAGCAAGGCCGGCAGAGGGGCTGGGGAGACAAGCACAGCCTGGGCTGGTGCTGGGAGCCACCGTCATCTGGGACCCTCTATCAGGGACAAAGACCCCATCCCTCGACCGCCTGGCTGAAACCCTAATGGGGGCTCGGGGCTGGCGAGGTCCGGCCTCGGAGGAGAGCCCCTTTCCCCAGCTGCGTAGTGGGGACACAGAGAGGACTTTGGCAGGGGTGAACCCAATGCGCACAGGGTCAATGTCACTAAAACCTTGCATGGAGGAGAAATTTGAGATAACAACTAAAATCCCCCTGACTTTTGAGTCATGGGGGGCTCACGCACTTGTAAACCGCTCAACTCCTTTGGAGCAGCTTCCCTGGATAGCCAGACCCTGAACATCTCCAAAAAATGCTGTGCCACATCCCTCTCTGCCTCCCCCAACCCCACCGTTCATCATGCTCCAGTGGAGGTGGTACCTAAAGCAGAGCACAAGCCCCTCTGTTCTCTCTCTCTCTCTTCATTTTGTGCTAGATTTGTTGTTTTTTTTTTTCTCTCTTCTTTTTTAGCAACCCCCAACCCAGCTGGAGATAAGTGAACCACATTACAGTACAGGAACAAACACTATCGCAAACCCTGCCTGCGAGCGCGGTGTCTCTGCCCTCCTCGCCCCGGAGGGAGATGCCCCCGCAGGACTTGTGTGCCACCAGCAGAGGCTCACCCCATCCCGGAGCAGGGATCGGCTGTCCCGGCCCCTCCAGTCCCAGCTCTCCAGAGAGACTGAGCTAAAGGACATGGAGTTTTCTCGAGCACGTCAAGTTACTATGGACCAAGTCCCACATTTGGAGCAACTCTGGAGGCAGCAGTTTATGAACCACCAACATACTCCGGAAGAAACACGGCTCCTTGTTCATCTTGCTGTTCTTATTCTTCACAATGCCAAAAGTTTTGAAGCCCTCATGCCCAACAGGTGATACTTTAAGGACCTCCAGGCACATCCCTAGGAAGACGTCGTCAATGGGGTACAGCTCCAGTGTCTCCGAGGTCTTGTGCAGCCTCTTGGCCAGGGGCCCATCCATGATGAAGCCCCCACCCCCTGCATAAGGTGGGTAGTTGCTTTTGTTGTAGAGGGCGCTGGGGATGTAGTACTTGTTCTCCTTCTTCCGAATCGGCTTGGCCTTGTAGAGGACATCCCCCACGAAGAGGTCTTCTCCCTCCTTCTTGTCCTCCAGGAACTCGAGGATGTTGCTGGGACTCACAAACACATCATCATCACCTTTGAAGATGAAGTGGACGTTGTCACAGTAGATGTTCAGCCATTTCAAGAAATGGACCTCTTTGAGGGTGAGGTTGAAGAAGCTGTCCAGGAAATCCCACTGCAAGATGTCCCCATAGATGTGGTTCTCGTAATCCAGCAGTTTCTGGTAGTTGGCTCTCTCCTCCTCCTTGGAGGCCGTGCCCAGCAAGAACAGCGTCCTGATCCTCTTGCCATCCACCTCTTTCTCCTGGCCCCAGGTCCTCCGGATGGCCTCGCGGCGGTCGTGCTGTGTGATGATAGACTTGACCACGATGAGCAGGTAGACGTCCCCGCTGCATTTCTCGGGGTGGTTGATCAGCATGGGGAAGTAGCGGCAGTGCCGATAGAGCAGGAACTGCTGGAAGTTGGGCTCCAGCCCTTTGAACCAGTCCACCTTGCTGAAGTTCTGGTTGGCCGAGCAGTTGGTAGTGGTGACATCCCAGGATTTTGCTTGCTTTGCCGTCACGCTCTCCTCCTCCTTCAGAGGAGCTTTCTCCTTCTTGCTCTTCCAGAAAGTGCTGGTGATGGAGAAGGCGTTGTCTCTCTTCTGCATTTTCAGGGGCTCCGGAGGGGCCAGCTCTTTCTGCTGCTGGCCCTGCATGAATTGGTTGGGGGCCATTCCCCGTTGCAGCACCGTCACCGTAATCACCAGCAAGAAGGAGAGGCAAACTGTTTTGTAGATGGTCTTCCTCCTAAAGGGACGAGACAGGGGGGTTAAGGAGAGGAAACTGCAGGCTGAGAGAGGCTTGTCTGCAAAAGCACCTCCTGGAGACGTCATGGGATGCTCATAATCTGTGTCCCATCAACTTGTGATGGGTAGCAGCCTTGTGGGAAGAGCTGTGGGACACCTCCACGCATGCTCTTCCCACCTGCATCCTTCTTGTGGGGCAGCTCTGAGGCCACACTTAACCACAGGGACAGGCACAAGGCACGTGGCAGGTGGCTGTGGTGTCATCTGGTAACCCCAGGTCTGTGCAAAGAGCTGGGAAGGGTTCACGGGAAAGAAGGTGGTCAAGAGAGAGATGAAGTCAGGATGACAGCTTCAGCAAAGCAGCTGTTTCAGAGGAAAGTCCCAAGGGAAACCCATGTTTCAGCCATCTGAAAATTGCAGTTTAGGACAAGAACAGAAGGGAATTATCTTTTCCACAGAAGCGTTAGCTCCAAAGCACGTACTGCCCATGGCCCTAGACTGGCATCACAGGTTACACAGCACTGCGATACCAGAGCCCGGAAGACCACGGGAGTTGACACAGAACAGGCATCACCGCTTCATTTCAAAACGGCAGCTCAGGACAAAAAATTGTCATTTGAGACGAACTTCAAGGTTCAGTGGGGAAAAGACGTCCCTAACTCTGCCTCTGCCTCAGAAACCAGCATTTCTGGGGGCACTGACGGGCGTTTTGGCCAGCTCTCGGGACCCATCGCTTCGCTTTGCAGTGATAAGGATAAGGACAGCGGATGCACGGCTGGGGATTTGCACCACTGCAGATCTCACGTTTGGGAGCAGATTTTCCCAGCCTGCAGCAAACAGATACCTGCAGGTGTGCAAGGGTTTGGGGGGACTGAGGGTGATAGATCAAACCCAGCCCCTTGCGGGGCCATCCCACCCCCCTGCTGCACACCCATCGCCCGGGGAAGCCGCTGGTTCATGGAGCTTGCCGGGGGCTTGGAGGGACCCTCCTGCGGTCCTTGGGACAGTGGCAAGGCTGCTCCCAGAGATTACTGATCCACCAAATACCCCCCCAACCTGCTTTTCCACACAGTTAAAGGTGGGTTTCTCGCCCTGCTGCCGTGATGGCGAGGAACTGCTCACTCTGCCCATCTGCACCATATTGCCCCTGAGCACCCAGCTCCCCTCCACAGCTGGCACATCTGCACCAATTTCCTCCCGCCTCAGTCCTGCTAGCTCCAGCTGCCTCGGGCCATGTCCCCGTGCAAATGAGCACTGGGCACAGGGGCGGCAGCTGGGCTCCATGTGCCCACTGGGGTCCCGACGGCTCCCCGAGGGCAGCCCCATCTCCAGCTGCTCCCACGCGGAGGGGACATGCTCAGTGCTCGGTGGCCCCCGGAGCCCCTTTCCCTGCCAGCGGGTGAAGGGGAACTGAAGGAGGAGGAGGAGGTCTCACAGCTCCCCTGTGCCTGTCCTCTTCGTGACAGAAGCATGTCCCAGCCCAGGTGCCACCCATCGGGGACAGCCCCTCGGCCTCCCGCTCCCCATTAGAGCCAGAAAGATCCAAGATCATCTCTGCCGGGCAGATGGCACCTTCACTTTGGGATAGTCCAGAGAAGGAGCTTGGGGCTGAAATCTGAAACAATTAACACAAGTAATTTCCAGATAGCCAAAAAAAAAAGCCTTGAAATTCTTCTGGCCCTGGGAGCCAGATTGTGATCAGCACTGCCGGGAAGCTGCTGGGGTTTTGGGGTACAGGCTGCACCAAAGCACCTGCTTGGTGGGACACCCCAATGCCCCTCAGGCTCCCCAGGGCAGGGGACAGCATTGCGCTTGGGGACTCCGGCCACCCTGAAATGCAGGAGCCCCAAAGGGGAACCAGGGGAACCAGGAGCTTTCAGGAGCTCCTGTCTCAGGCTTCATCCTCAAGTACAAAGAGCTTTTCAGCCCTGCGTTTACGTGGGAAAAGCGTGATCGCTAGCGTAGACTGTGAGAGCGAGCGTGGAAATAAGTAATTACGGGTAAATGGATAGATATTCCCCGTCTGGTTTTATATGTGGCCACTCATCTGCAACTGATGAGGGAGCAGTTCTGATTAGATCTCACCATTCCCTTAACCCTCTCCAGCCCTGGCCACGCAGCTCTGAGGTTGTTCTTAGAAACCTTTCCGTCTGATACAGTGGCAACTTTAAGCCCTGCACAGCCAAGCAATGTTTAAAACCTCTCATCAATACCTGGCACTGCAGCAGAAATAAACCCCGTCACCCCTGTATAGTAACCCCAATTGCACCGATCCCATCCTGACACCCCAGCCTTGCTCC